CGGAGTAAGTGGTCCCCACCTAGCCTGCAAAACCATATTGCCTTGAAAAAAACTGGGTAAATCTGAAGCAAATCAATAAATCTCTTTTAGTGACCTAGTAAGGTTTTAGTCAGTGCTTGTGCATTTCAAGCTGTCTGAAATGTGAGTATTTTACTTTCATATGCCTGGCCAAACCATAAAAAGGAGGCTTTATCAGAAGTAGGATTGATTTATTAATCTCAAAAAGGACATCCTAAAAAATGTAGAGAATGACAGAATCCCCTTACAGTGGATGCAACAGTATAAATGTGGTTTGTGATATAAAGGGCTAATGGGGTCTGGCTGATTACATGACTGTTGTGCGATATGTGAAAACAAGGTAACCAGACATAGGCAGAGCAAACTTCCCAGCAGCAGTGATAGAGTGACTTTCCAGTCTTTGTATTTTCCTCTAGAAAGCAGCCTTGAGATGCTTCAAGCTTCTGGCACTAGGCAGCAGAGGAGCAGATTTCTATCTCCTCCAGTCCCTTGGAGAGCTTTTTACCAAAATACCAGAAATCTGTATTTTTGCCAAAAAACATGGTTCCTGTAGCATTTACTGTGGAGGCTACCCTCCAGACACACCATGATGTCTTTGGCTGGCCAGTAGCATGCTAGGCGAGTACATTTCCAGGGGAAAACCTGGGATTAATGGTACTGATTGTACGTGTAAAGTGGCAGGTAGCTCCTGAGGTAGAGGGGTCTCCAAGCATAAGATATTTTTCTTCTTTCTAGCCATCACTGGTTTCATCCTTACCCTCACATATGTACAGGAAGATACTGGACAAATGCATGTACTGTTATTGATGCTAATAGTTGCCTACACTTTACTAGCGTCAGGGTGTGTGCTGCTTATGGCTGGTGATACTCATAAAATCATAGAATAGTTTCGGTTGGAAGGGACCCTTAAAGGTCATCTAGTCGGGCCTTTATAGGTCATCTAATCCAAACCCCCTCCCATGGGCAGGGACATCTTCAACTAGATCAGGTGCCTCAGAACCCTGTCCAACCTGGGACCTGACCTTGAATGTTTCCAGGGATGGGGCATCCACCACCTCTCTAGGCAACCTGTGCTAGTGTTTCACCACCCTCAACGTAAAAAATTTCCTCCTTACATCTAGTCTAAATCTACCTTCTTTTAGTTTAAAGCCATTCCCTCTTGTCCTATTGCAACAGGCCCTGCTAGAAAGTTTGCTGCCATCTTTCTTATAAGCCCCCTTTAAGTACTGATAGGCTGCAAGAAGGTCTCCCCGAAGCCTTCTCTTCTCTAG